ACTATGCCAGAGATTGTTGGTCCAATAAATAAAGGAAGTCAGAAGAAGCAAATATAGCAAGAGGAGAGTCTGATGATCAACCTGTGCTATTGTTGGCTTATGAACCTGATGATATGAATTCATCAGAATGGTGGTATATGGATACAGGGTGTTCAAACCATCTTACTGGAAACAAGAAGTGGTTGGTTGATTTTGACTCTGGGAAGAGTACAAAGATCAGATGTACTGATGATAAATACCTCAATGCATAAGGTATGAGAAATTTTAGAATCATTCTAAACAATGGGAAAGCAACAGTAATCCAGAATGTATGGTATGTACCTGGCATGAAAAGAAATCTGATGAGTGCGAGACAACTGGTTGAGAAAGGTTTTTCAGTTACCATGAAAGACAATCTTCTGAAGTTGTATGACTGTAATCAAAAGCTGATTATGGAGTCAGAACAGGGAAGGAACATAAAATTCAAGGTGAATGTTAGAACTACAGACTCTGAATGTCTTAGTGCAACAAGTGTTGTCAAGGAGAGTGAGTTGTGGCACAGAAGATTTGGTCATCTGAATTTCAGAAGTTTAGGGCATCTGAAATCAAAGAATCGGGTACATGGAATTCCTACAATCAAGAAGCCTGAAAAGTCATGCAAGGTGTGCATGGAAGGGAAGCAACCAAGATTACCATTTGTATCAGAAGTAGCTCCAAGAGCAAAACATGCCTTGGGAGTAGTACATTCTGATGTATGCGGTCCATTTTTAGTAGCATCGACTGGAGGGAATAAATATTTTGTGTCATTTGTTGATGAGTTCACCAGAATGACATAGGTATCTCTCATAAATTTCAAACACGAGGTGTTTGCTGAATTCAAGAAGTTTAGACTGAAGGCTGAGAATCAGAGTGGCCAGACTCTGAAGATTCTTAGAACTGATGGTGGTGGTGAGTATAACTCCACAGAATTCAGAATTTTCTCTAAGGAGAGTGGAATTGAGCATGAGGTTACTTCTCTCTATACTCCTCAATACAATGGTCTTGCTGAAAGAAGAAATTGTACTTTGATAGATATGGTGAGAAGCATGCTGAAAGAAAAGAAGCTTCCTCATACTCTGTGGGGAGAAGCTGTTGCAACTGCGTGTTATGTGCTCACCAGATGTCCAACGAAGAAATTGAAGGAAATAGTTCCTATTCAGAAGTGGACTGGAGATAAGCACAAAGTTAGTCATCTGAAGGTGTTTGGTTCTGTATTCTATAAACATGTCCCAGAAGCCAGAAGACAGAAGTTGGATGATAGAAGTAAAGTGATGTTGCTGGTGGGGTACCATAGTACAGGTTCGTACAAACTCTATTGTCCATAAACTAACAAAGTTGAATTCAATAGAGACATCATTGTAAAGGAATCAGAAGTTTAGAATTGGGAAAGGTCTCGTCCTGACTCTGATGAGAGAACTCTTGAAGAAAAGTCAGAAACACATGTTTCTGAAGCTGGTAAAGACTCTGACTTTGAAGAAGATACAGAAGGAGAAGATGATTCTGACTCTGACTCCGATGGTGATCCAGACTCTGAAGACGGTCAAGGTTCTGGAGAAAGTCCAAATTCTAAAGCAAGTGCTTATGAAGGGGAAAGTTTTGGTGTCCAAAGTTCTGAAGGTCTAGTTCAGAGGAAACAAAGAGTCAGAAGCATCCCAAGAAGATTTGCAGAGTTTGACATGTTGCGAGACACTGAAGTAGACTCTGAAGGAGAAGTTATTCAGTGTGTAATGTTAGTAGGCTCTAAACCCATGAGTATGAAAGAGGCTCTTAAGAAGCAAGTCTGGTTGCAGGCCATGAAAGAAGAACTTGATGCTATAGATAGAAACAAGACTTGAAAGTTGACTGAACTTCCAAAAGGTAAGAAAGCCATCAGCGTTATATGGGTTTTCAAGAAGAAGCTAAAGCCAGATGGATCAATTGGCAAACACAAAGCGAGATTACTAGCAAGAGGCTTTCTACAGAAGCCTGAGCTGGATTACTTCGAAGTGTTTGCACCTGTAGTGAGACATGAAATAATCAGACTAGTGATTGCAATAGCTGCTAACAGGAATTGGCCTCTGATGCATTTAGATGTAAAATCTGCATTTCTGAATGGTCCATTACAAGAAGAGGTGTACGTTTCACAACCTCCTGGATTTGAGAAAAAGAATCAGGAAGGGATGGTGTTAAAATTACACAAAGCATTGTATGGATTGAAACTAGCGCCCAGAGCTTGGAATTTGAAGATTGATTTTATTTTTCAAGGAACAAGGGTTTCAAAAGTGTGATATGGAGTATGGTGTTTATGTTCAGCATACTTCATAAGGTAATATGATTCTGGTTTGTTTGTATGTTGATGACATATTACTCACAGGAAGTTCTGAACAAGAGATAGCTGAGTTCAAGAAAGTTATGATGAATGCGTTTGAGATGACAGATCTTGGGAAAATGAGTTTTTTTTAGGGATGGAGTTTATGTACTTTGAGAAAGGAATCATTTTGCATCAGATGAAGTATGAATTAGAGCTTCTGAAGGGATTTGAGCTAGAGAATTGCAAAGTTTCTAACACACATGCTGATACAAATCAGAAGTTGGACTCTGATTCTGATGGAGAGGATGTGGATACTACAACCTTCAAACAGTTGGTTGGTTCTCTAAGGTATTTGTGTAATACCAGACCTGATAATTTCTACGCAGTTGGAATGGTTAGTAGATTTATGAGCAAACCAAAGTGGTCTCATTACCAAACCGCAGTCAGGATTCTGAGGTATGTGAAAGGAACTCTGAAATATGGAGTGTTATTTCCGTCTAGAAGAAAGATCAAATCAGAACTTATGAGTTATTCTGATTCTGATTGGTGCAGAGATAGAGTTGACAGAAGAAGTACTTCTAGGTACTTATTCAAATTTCTGGGAGGTCTTATTTCTTGGTGTTCCAAGAAACAATCTGTTGTTGCACTGTCAACTTGTGAAGCTGAATATATTGCAGGCGCTCTGACTGCATGTCAAGCTGCGTGGATTCTGAACTTGCTGAAAGATTTGAAGATTGAGGTAAATAAACCTCTGAAGTCGATGATTGATAACAAGTCTGTAATCAATTTTGCCAAGAACCCAGTGTTGCATGGGAGAAGCAAGCATATTGAGACTAAGTATCATTTTCTGAGGAATCAAGTTCATAATGGAATTTTAGAAGTTGTGTAATGTAGCACCCAAAAGCAGCTGGCTGATGTTCTGACAAAGGCTATCAAAACTGATCAATTTCTTGGTTTAAGGGATGTAATAGGTGTTGTCAGTTTTGGGTAAATATAAGTTAAGAGATGGTGTTAGAATTAATTTAGATTTTATAATTAATTAGATATTAATTTTTATTTAGGAATATCTTTTAGATTGTTTATATCTTTGTTAGAAGATATATATCTTAGATCTTCTTATATCTTTGTTAGAAGATATATTTTAGATTTAATTTTGTGTATAAATAACCCAGTGGAGTAGGTTATTGTAATTCATTGTAAATCCTTATTTTGAAGCTGTCAGTAAAGATTCTTGTTGTCTTTTATCTTCCTTGTGCACCAACAATAATTAGCAAAAAAAAATTTCTCATACAAAATCATATCACTTAAATTATATCTTCAAGAACTATATAAATAATTTATTTTGCTATCCTTTAGGATGCTTGATAAGTTCTACAAAAACTATATAAATAATTTGTTTTGTTATCCTTCGGAGATGCTTGATAAATTCTTCATGCAATCCTTCTGAGATGCATGAAAATCATCACTAATTTTCTCTAATCAATATATGTTGATAACGTGTTATAAAATAAAAAGAGAAAAAAATAAAAGAACAGAGAAAAAGTTGAGAATAATTTTATATTATTTGATATTTCTACAAAGAGAATAATCCTATTTATAAGATGATATCACAATCTAATAAATATAAATTATTATAAATTAAAAATAAAATCATTGAAAAACAACCATTCAATTATTCATAACAATACTACAATTTTTTTTTTAAATCTTCAAGATTTTTTTCATAAAAGTGAAATTCCAATCCACCAACCCCTTCATCCAATTGATTTGAAAAAAATTGATTCTTATAATATCCTTATTAAATTTGATCAAGTGCCTTTTTAATAAACTTAATTTAGTATATTTTTTTGTACCAAAAAAAGTTTATATATTTTTATTCTACTTTTTCTTTAAAATAAAAAGACCAAATCAACAAAAGTCCAAAGTGAAGTTTCAAAAGTTCAATTTTCTCTTGTTGCCTTTCTTTGAAATTCTCCTTAACTGCTATGACTTTTTCTTAACGCGATTTTGCACAACTTCCTCAACCCATCTTATATTATCCCCATTCCCTTCTCCAACTTCAACACACGCACTGAATTTCATCAGGTATCATACTCCTCTTCCTTTTCTCTTCCTATAACTCTCTTGTTTTACTCCATCTATGTTTTCGTTTTTTATCTGAAGAATCGATTTTTCAGTTAAATTTTCGTTTTTTTTATGTGGGTTTTGGTTGTTTTTGTTGATCACTTGTTCCTTTTTCATCTAAATAATCGATTTTTCAGTTAAATTTTCGTTTTTTTGACATGGGTTTTGATTGTTTTTGTTGATCACTTATTCCTTTTTCATCTAAATAATCGATTTTTCAGTTAAATTTTCGTTTTTTTGACATGAGTTTTGATTGTTTTTGTTGATCACTTGTTCCTTTTTCTACTATGATTCATAAATTTTCTTTTTTTTTTTTGTTGTTTTTCAAAACAGCAAATTTTCATCAACCCATGTTAATTTTTGTTGATTTAATCACTTTTGAGTTAGGTTTGTATGGATTATCCTCTTCAAAATTTAATTTTGATGGAAATTGAATAATAGGGTTTTTTTAATAAGATATTTAGTTTATTTATTAATTTTTGTTCTTGGTTTTTCAGGATAAAATTTATACAAAAAGATCATTTTTCCTTCCAAGGTTTTCATAGAGATATTGTTGTAGAAAGACAGAATGTTTGGTTCAAAGAAAGATGCTAAACCTAGTTCTAAGAATAACAACCCTTCAAGGAAGGCTTCTTCTGAGTATAACCTAGTTCAGGGAGAAACTAATACGAATCCGTTTGATGACGGTGATGTTCATCATGGACGATCTTCTTTGTCTTCGTATGCTCCGTCATATGGAAATCGGAACATGTATAAGAATGATTTCCGTGAATCTGGGGGGTTGGAGAGTCAGTCAGTGGAGGATTTGGAGAACTATGCTGTTTACAAGGCTGAAGAGACTACGAAATCGGTGGATAATTGTCGGAAGATAGCTGAGGAGATGCGAGAGGAGGCTTCCAAGACGTTGGTTATGCTGCATCATCAAGGCGAGCAGATTACAAGAAGTCATGATATTGCTGCTGGCATTGACCACGATTTAAGTCGGGTATTGATCGTGTTATTTCATAGTTAATTAATGTAAACTTACTTGGACCGGGATCCGCTGCAATGGCCAAATGCCTGAATTCAACTGGTCTCGGTCATTTGATGAAAATCAGACGGCTCGTATTTTGACTTTGTCAAATCGAGTTTAAAATACTACCAAAAATACAAGTTTTCTGATCTTAGTCCAATGGTTGAGATCCAAGACTAATGGAATCGTGCATTGACCAAGATTTAAGTCGAATATTGATCGTGTGATTTCATAGTTATTTAATGTAAACTTACTTCGACTAGGTCCTCTGCAATGGACAAATGCCTGAAGTCAATGGATCTCGATTGTTGGATGAAAATCAGACGACTTGTATTTTGACTTTGTCAAATTGAGTTTCAAATACGAGCTTTTTGATCTTCGTCCAATGGTTGAGATCCAAGGCTAATGGAATCGCGTTTGTAAAGAATCCATACCCAATTATCTTAGGTCTCCTATATAGGAACCTTCCTCATGCTGTTTTTACCTTAGTGAAAACAAAGGTTGCTGCTCACTATGCGCCCCGTTGGAAATTGCTTTGTTTTAACTTTCTTCTTGGTGTTTGTAGGGAGAAAAGCTTTTGGGAAGCCTTGGTGGCATGTTCTCGAGAACATGGAAACCGAAGAAGACTGGCGCAATAAAAGGGCCAACCATATTTTCCGGTTAGTATTTGCTCTTTATATTCTCACATTTTCAAGTTTGGTTAATATTGGAATGTATGATTTAGTAATATACAATATGCTTCATGATATACAGATGATCCCGTCCGAAGAAGCGCCAACCACTCTGAGCAACGAGAGAAGTTAGGATTGAACTCTGCCCCTAAAGGACAGTCAAACCCAAGGAGAGCCATTTCGGAGCCAACTAATGCATTTGAAAGAGTCGAGGTTCGTAACAACTTAGTGAATATTTCAATGTTGTTTACAGTCATTTGAAGTACAGAACATCGACAAAACATTTCTCATTCTTACTTCTTTAACATGTGAATGATCTCTGAATATAGGTAGTTTTCTCTGAGATAACTTATGAAACAATTTATAACATATATACAAATAATTTAAATTTACGTTATCTTTTGTTATAAAAATAGCTTATGCAAGCTTATTCATAAGCGCTTATTTTAACAAGCACTTGTGTTATAAGCTGCAAATAAACTAGATGTTTATCCAAATAGACCCTAAATATAAAATGTAAATAGTTTTTTTCTCCTTTGCATTGTACAATGCTGTGATTAGTATTAAATTCATCAATGTCCTGAAACAAAACAGGTTGAGAAAGGGAAGCAAGATGATGCACTATCTGATATAAGTGATCTGTTGGGAGAACTTAAAGGCATGGCCATTGACATGGGATCTGAAATTGACAAGTAAGTAAATTGGATTCTATGCTTTGTGTTCTCAGTGTAACCAATTGAAGTTACTAGTTGTATAATTATGCAGAACCATTTCACTTTTTTTGAGCATGTTATAAATTTAAGTGATTTTGGTAATGTTTCAGGCAAACCAAAGCCATAGGTGGATTTGAAAAAGATACCGAGAAGTTGAATGACCGCATGAATGGCGCCAATCGACGCACTCGCCATTTACTTGGAAAATAGGGATGAATATCATCATTTCATCAGATTGATTACTTTTGCTACTTTCCATTATTTGATTGAAGATTCCAATTGTGTATAATCCACTTCTGAAAATTACTTCTCTTGAAATATATTGTATATTGATATTGATTTGGGATTATCAATGATTGTTATCGATATCATGGTTCATGTGGTGAGTAGCTAGTTTGAGAATTGTGGTTGGCCTAACTCATCCCTACAAAATCGACTTGTAGGGTGAGGATTGTTCCAATTTATAATCACTTGTTTTGGTTGTATATTGTCCAATGTGTAATTGTTAACACACACCTCACGTTCGGAGGGGGTATAAATGGTGGGTGGTCTGATAGCATAAACCATGATAGCAAGCTATCCACGGAATTTTAAGGTGGTCCGATAGTAGAAACCTAATAACAAGGGGTCTACATGTTTTTAAATCAGACTCTTAATATCATATTAAGAAACAGTTTGACTTAATCCAATCTTACAAAACAACCGGTTTGTAGGGTGAAATTTGACTCCACTTATGGCTCAATAACGAAACTTAATAACAGCTGGTCCACTGAATCTTAAACGAAGTTATTGACACCATGTTAAAATATGGTTGAATCTAATTCAATTTTACAAAATCGATTTATAAGATAATGATTGTTCCGACTTATAAACATGTGATTTGACCATATATTAACTTATGTGAAACTCTTAAAAGAGCAAAGAATTAAAAGGGTTGAGATTTAAACTCCAATAAAAACACCAACACAACTTTTGTGCTGAGAACCACAAGTTTAAAGCAACAAATATATTCACGAGTTGATACATCTTGATGTTTCTTCAAATTTAAAACTATTGCAAATGCTATATAACTTGCTCACTACTTACAATTACCAAGAGCTTGCAATTCCATAGGTATAATGTCTATATAGAAACCTTAAACTATATAGTTTTCAGTGTCTAGCACAAGTTGGAGCATCAAAGTTTGGATACACAACAAATGCAATTGACAGAGGAACTATATATATTGGAGACCTCACATTGTTGTGAACTGGATCCATTGTTGGAATATCCCCTCCATTTGTTAACTTGAGTGGAATTCCATTCAACACCATGGTTTGGCTTTTGAGATTATCATCTTCTGGAGTTAAGTGATACTCTTCCCTGAATGTGACCTCCGAACCTTTCGTTCCAACCCAAGAGAACGCTTTCTTGAGATTCTCGAAGAATGAATTACTTTCTTTATGGATGTTTTTGCTTACTTGGTCTCTTTTAACACGCGTTGGGTTTTTCACGTTGAGTATGAAGTGTGTTTGATTACTTAAGTTGATCACCAGTAATGTTACGCCAGCCTGTTGAACAAAACTGATAAGAATTCGACAAACGATGAAAGTAATAGCGATATCGTTTCAAACAAGCTGTGAACTAGATTAACAGACTTACTCTATCTTTTGAACAATGGACGTAAGTTCGTAAAAATGGCGAAGAAATATCACTGGAAACTGCAAGAACCTTCTTTCCCATCAGCCGTTGCCATAAAAGCGCACTGTTTGGAAAACCAGAGATACATTATCAGTATAAATCATTAAGTTACGTTCGATGGAATAAAAGTATATCTAATAATCGATTAATCTCCGATGTTTATTTTATAATAGTTAATTTTATACTTGCCTATAGTAGTCAGGATTAGGAGTGAGAGTGGAGGTATTGAGAAGACCATAGTTCCCTCCGATTAACGTCTGCCTACAATAAACTTTAGTATTGTAGGTGGATGCGATTCCAAGTTGATCTAAGTACCTACAAATCATTCAAATATTCGGTTAACCACATCACACGTGCGCCGAAACTAAGAAAGATGAAAAGAAAAATGATGGAAGGAAGGAATGTTACCAAAAGCTATCCAGAAATGTGTTGGAAACATCATGACCACCACTGTTGTAAGCCCCGCCAGCTTCTCCTACCCACGCAGACGTCCAAGGACCGTGTTTTTGAATAGTTTCCGAAAGATTGCCGAAAATCGTTTCCACCCTGCTCAACCGATTGGGATCTAAAATCTTCCCTTCAAGCTGCCCGTCACTACCTGAAAAAGAAAACCTGGTCAGTACTCCAAAAGTAATCGATGTTACTCCGCAACTTATCTACAAAGGAAGGATAAGCAAACCTGGTCCCAAATTATATATATGATGCGTCAGAACATTGATTACGCCAGAACCAGAAACCTGAAGAAGCTTATTATACCATTCTTTTTCATAAAATCCCCCAGGTGCTACAAGTGAGGGTTTGAATCTAGAGTTATCGTATAACACATCGAGAATCCGTTTAAGCTTGATCAAGTCTTTCCCATACTGTGTAACGCCAACACGTGCACCAATGCCCTTACCGCTCAACTCGTTGCCTACAACAACATATGCAATAATAAGGTCAAACTAAACACCAACGAAAATAATAGTTATAGCAGCACTATGCGCTGATGCGTAGAGGAATTTGAATGAAGCGCAGTTTTCTGCAATCTGCGAATGACAATTGACAACACTAGCTTTAACCGCTAGAGATCAGTGCATTACCAAGTTCCCATGCGTCGATCTTGTATCCCTTTGAAACAGTGTACTTTATAAAATCATAAGCATTTGTAGGATCCCAAGCTCCTTCCCAAACTGTAGGAACAACCTGGTGCTTTCCATGGAGCGCGTTCAAGCCAAATGTCACAATGGCCCTGCAAGTGTCAAACTTCGATTAAGTAAAACCTACCACAAGTAATCATCATTCTGTAACACACCGACATTCAGGTTCTTTGTTTTGGTACATATTTACAACAAAAAAACGTTGTTTACATTACAAGTATGTATAGGGTCAGATTCGTGTTTTCATCTCTTGATAGCTCAGATTCGTGTAAAGAAAGATTCTCACCCTGTCTGATTGAAAAAATGATTTAGCTCATCCCATCTTTTCATGTGTAAACACCCCTTCGAAAAGTCGAACAATCCACCTTTCAACTTCTGAAATGGATGACAAGGAGAGTTCGAATTTCCTACGTCATACACCACCTGGTCTTGCAAAGAACCTCCGAGTCTTATCCTCAATGGCTTGAGAGCTATCAGAAAACCATAGAAAAAGAATAACATTATGCTTAACACATTTTAAATATAACCAATGTTGTCAATCGCGAATTGTCACAAATAGCTGTTTGTTCAAATTCCGATACACAACGGTACTATAGCTCCAATAGAGTTTTTTTTAGATTGGGCTATAGCATGGTTATAGTGACTAATTAACAACAATAACATACACACCTCGAATTGCCTTGGCAAGGAAAGGACGAGATACGTCCTGAAAAAGCAATCAACGTTGAATTGAGCAATGACTATAAATTCTCAAGAGTGTTCATTTCGATTTCTACAAAGATAAAACTCTGAAATACCAACCAAATTTACAACAGATGAATATCCCCAAGAGCAATGGTCGTAGTCACACTTATCATGAGGCCACCAATCAATAGTCGCACAAATAAAGTTATCACCTGTTTCAGCTTTTGCTTGAGCACCATTTACTAGTAGCGAACCGTGTTGAATATCTCGACTAAAAGCAACTTGAATAGAAGCCAAAAAGAGAAACAATGCAAGGTGGTGGAATCCCATGATGACTGAATCAATTGCAGAAGCAACCAAAGCCAACACAACTATTCCAAATTAACTGCAATAACAAATAGAAGCTAATTACAGAAAGATCTTATGAAACTATACAACTGTCATTTTCTTTAAGATGCATTTAGTTTCAAGGGTCACTACCTCACTATCTCTCTCAATATTTTAAGAATCATGAAAACAAACTTCAAAGTCAGAATTTCAAACATGCTTATATTAAATAAATCCAAATCAGACAGATATAATATGAACACAAAACTTGTAAAACACTAATCAATCATCATCACCTCAATAATAATATTATAAATCTTTAAGAAACAGCAACAACAAGATACATAATCAAAACATAGAATAATAATAATAAGTTGAATTCAAACTCAGTCAAAAAAATTCATTTTTTATTATTAAAAAACAGTAGAAAAAGGAACATCCAAACATACATATAAAAAAACATGAGAAAATCAGATAAATCAGATCTGAAGAAGACATGTAACAATTAAGGCAAACAACATGACAACCCAGAAGAGTGAAATGAAAGAATAACAAAAAGGGTGAAAGAAAGGAACAAACTTTGAATGAATGGAAGGGAGAGAGACAGGGAGGTGAAAAGGGGTTGGTTGTTGTTGGGTTGCTTGATTGGCATTGATGAGAATCTAATCTATGATGGGTGAATAATAATGAATGATGGTGGTTTAAGTGAGAGTTAAACTAGTTTGGTGATGGAAATTGGAAAGTGAAAAAGGAAAGAGATTTTTCTTTTCTTTATTGTTTGTCTATTCATATTATACTCTTCAGTCTTTTGTGACTGTTTGTATGACTCTGAGTTTGCTGAGGTTTGTGTCTTAAGGTGACAGTAACTAATCAATGCCGAAATCTTAGGATTTAGGAATAAGGTTGTTTTGCCGTTTTCATCCTTTCAAAAATAAATGAGTTTAATGCTAGTGTGTACTCTGCCGAAAGAAAAAATGACACAGATATTCAATCAAAATATTTTAAAGGGGGTAAATTATGATTATATTTTAAAATTTAAAGTGTAATTTGACATTTTAAAAATATTTTAAAGGGGGTAAATTATGATTATATTTTAATATTTAAAGTGTAATTTGATATTTTATACGATTGTTATTGGTTGATAATGTAAAATAGTTTATCATTTTTTTTTTAATAAATATTATTTTAATAAATAGATAATTTATTTATTTTTTAAAATTATTATTGAGAAAATTTAAATATAATTCATTTGATATTTATTATTTTTTAATAAAAATATAACAAGGGTACTTAAATATAATTTAAAGAGTGAAAATAAAAAATAAAAAATAGATATGTGTAAGAGAAAATTATATATTTGATATATTTTTATTGAAAAATAGTAAAATTCACATCTAAAGAATTGTATCTAAGTTTTATCTTTTTATTATTATGTGTCGATATAATATTAGAAAAATGATATTTTGACATCTAAATTTAAATGTTAAAAAGGTGTCAAATGTAATTTTTAAATGTAGTGATATATTATCAGAATTCGTGCACACAGCCTGCAGACACATTTATAAATTACAAAAATAATTTTCACGGTTATTAAGAAATTCAATTAAACCACCCCGGACACAGAGTTCAGGAAGGTCGTCGGCATCGAACCACCCCAGACTTTCGATGCTCTCCTAAAAAAAGCTAGGGCCTATATGGACTACGAGGAGAGGGAGGTGGCTAACAGAGCCCGCGACCCAAGAAATCGCGGACCAACCAACACCCTGCGACACCAGGACACAGGCCCTCTTCGACGAACATGCGAGAAGAGAAGAGAGGATAAACCGCGTGATCCCCGCGAGCATAGGGGACCCGCAGGCCGATTCACCGAATACATTCCGCTGACCGCTTCCCGCGAGCGTATCCTAGGAGAGTGCGCTAATACCGACTTCCAGGACGGCGATGTCAAACGCCCTCGCTCTGCTCCTGCGAAGCCCGGGGTTGACAGGAGCAAATATTGTCAGTACCATCAAAGTCACGGGCACCTGACTGAAGATTGTGTTCATCTCAAAGATGCCATTGAAATCCTCATCAAGGGTGGAAGACTCGGGCAATATCGACACAATGACGCCCCTCGTCGAGATGCCTGTGAGACAAAAGAGGTCGAGGAGGACACCCGACCATCGAATGAGACGGCCCCCATCCAGATAGCTTTCTCCGTTACAAGGTCGGAGGACTTCTATGTCCCCGACAGATACGAGGGAGAACCTCTGTCCATGCACAACAGGTGAGAGAAATTCCCCTCTGCCATGGTTATAACTAGCAGGGGGTTCAACGACATCTCTATAAATTCCACAAAAAGAAAGCTCGACGATTTGGTCGAGGCAACCCCGACTTAAGCGATGACATTCGAGAAGGTCAAGGGCAGATCAGAATCAATTGGTCTCACAGCTCGAGTGTCCACGAGATCTCCGACACGGTCAAACAAGTTGTCCCCAACAAGGGCAACAACTCATTTTCGTTAGAGGACTACGATCTCTCTTCTCGAGCAAATTCTCCCCGACCATAAAGTTGAACTTAAGTCGTCACCCTTTCACCTAAGGGCAATAACTTGGGGGCTCCTGATCTGGACTGGGCCCACGCTTGTCCCTCTGATGGGGAGGCCCAATCCAACACCCTTGCATAAGGCCCAAAGACAAGCAGCCCAAGTTGGAGATCATTGGGCAACTCCCCACGTGTCTGTTGGGGAGTGTGGCCCACGTGTCTGTGTCATTGTCATTATAACTACCCTCCGAGAATCACGGGTCCAACACCTATTCCCTCGTGGCAGTTGATCAGGGGGAGTCCACGTGCTGGACTCCATACACACGTAAGCGCTGACAATCTCCAAAATTAGGCCTCATCGTGGTCCAACTTTGGAGAACTTGGTCCAACGCTGGAGGCTATAAATACCCTCTCACTTGAGAGGATCGGGTATTCATTCTTTCATACTTACTCTCATATTTGCTCGCACTGCTCTGAACCTTACTTTGATATCAGAGTGTTTTGTATATACCTCCTAACTCACTTTCAGTTGTTGCTCAACTCACATCTAATGAGCTTTGACAATCCACTCTGATCAGGTACGATCAAATACACTTATAAATTATTCATTATTATTTCCCATATACATGTGATATATTAATGTGTTTTTCAATGTTATATATTTCAAAATAAGAAATACATAATTAGTATTATACTAAACATTTCTATTTTATATATTATATACTAAAATGTATCTTTAATTAACACGTTAATTAAATAAGAAACACATAATGAAATAATTACATTAAGATTAAAAGTCACTTTCAGAAATAAATTCGTAAAAAAATTGGATAAAATAGGCGAACATAATTAAAGATGTGAGACAAAATTTTAATTCATTTAAAAAATAATGCCAGGACCCGTGAACATTGTATTTTTAAAATTAAAAAATCTAAAAATTTACATTGTTTGAATCCACAAAAACTAAAAAAAAAAAAAAAAAAAGACAAAATAAACACATTAAAAGATACAAGTTAAAAATTTTGATCCATGCAAAAAAAAATACAATAAAATGGACATAACATGAATGAATTAATCATGAAGTATCTAAACAATTTATATCTATAGGTTTTTAATTACTTTCACCTTTTTCTCTCCTTATAGAATTAAAACTCACATATCTTAAATAGTAAGTCAATTCAATATGGAACACTTTGCCTTGATGGAGAGGCAAACCTTGTCTTTTTCTTGTTCAACAATGTGTTCATTAAGTTGGTTGTTGAAACATGTTTGTCAAATTTGACCCTTCAGAATTAATTTTACCTACAGTTATAGGAATTTGAGATTCTCAAGTAATTTTTTAGAAAATATCGTACGTAATTATCGATTATAATAACTCTAACCTTCTAATCTCTAGGTTGAAATCACAATTGCTCGTTTTTTGTTTCCAAAAATGTTGCATAGGTTGAAATCACAATCCTTCATATTGTAATAGATCAAATTTTAACCACCATTTTGATTTTTCAAGGCAAAATACCCCCTTTAACGTTATTTTTCAATTTTTTTTACAAATAAAAAAATAAACTCTTGCTATTTTAAGATTATATCATTTTAGACCTTTAAGAGATATGACACAATATCAAATGCATATGTATTAAGTTGAGTGGTATTTTTTTCATTTTTTTAATGACACCTCTGCATATTCTTGCCACATTATTATTTGAGGATTATAAAGTTATCTTTGAAATGTTGATTCTAATCCTTTCCATTTTGCCCTAACTGAGAACCACCATTAAAAAGCTGCATGTAACCTCATTGAAACCTATTTGCTCTGGAATCTTTTAAGGAATCAGCTGAAGTTTAAGTCATCCACATATTCGACGAAGATTCGTGTCCTAAGGTATGACAATTTCATCTCATTTTTCCATTTTTGTGATTTCATTCTTTAGGTTTAGAAGTCGATTATGATGATAGAGTTTGTCTTACAAATTATGAGTAAGTTCAGTGTTGTTATTTATCATGGAAGAGAGTTTGTTAGGGAGAAGACTATGTTTAATAGGGTTGAGGTTCAATCTACTGTTGTGTGAGATCAAGATATCGAAGAGTGGGGTATCTCTGAAGTGATAAAACTAGTACTTAGGTGGGGATACATTAGAAATGAGTTTAGGGATTGGAGCAAAATTGAAGGTATAGATGAATACTACGTTGAAGTTAACAATTATCAGCATGCGTTAGATGTTGCTAATTTTGCTTTAGATAACAACACAGAAGGCCATTTTTATGTTGAGCATAATGTGAAGGACATAAAAGTCAAGGTTGTTGAGCCTAAATGTATTGAAATGAGTGTAGGAATTGATTCAAGTGATGCAGAAAGTGTCGATGATGTAACAAATGTTAGGTTTGATGATACAGAGGATGAGAGAACAACTGCAATGGATGATGGTTTTGAATATTTTGAATTAGAAAATTACATTCTTTCTTCACCTAGATTGAAGTTGTTG